GCGTGGTGGCAAACAAGGCTGATCAGGGATCAGAAGGGAAGGCGGGGTGGGGGATCCCTGACGCAATCTAGAACAGGTGACACTCTGATCCTACCTGGCTTTGCTTCTGACATAATGGGTAGCAAAACATGGTGAAATATACACACCTTGCAGCTGCTATTTGATAGTGTACACTTAAGAGGGAGAATACTACTTCAGCACTGGTACACTTGCCTTTGATGGGAGTCTGTCCCAGGCATGGGCTGGAGACGAAATGAAGGCAACATTGTGGGGACTTAGTAGGAAAAAGTTGCTGCCAGGGCATGTTTGTACTGTGGCTAGTAACTAGCGGGGAAGTAAGCTTTTACAGGTAGTCCTCATTTAGCAACTAGCAATAGCGACCATTTGCAGTTATGACACTGATGAAAAAGTAACTTTGAGACGAATCCTCACATTTACAGTCTTCTGAGGTCTGTAAAGCAAAGGAAAGCTGAAGTAAGATAATAAGCCCAGTTGCGGTTTTACTTAGCGATCGCTTCACTTAACAACTGAATTGCCAGTCCCAGTTGTAGTCGTTAAACGAGGACTACCTGTACCCTGATAGATAATAGGGATGTTGGTAGATAATTAGCTTATAATGTACTTACCTTTTAGTAATTCAAATAGATATTTCAATTAGGACATTTGAATCTTATCTCTGACAATTTGTTCAGGATAGAACTAGACATGATTCAGATCCAGGATCATCCTCTTCATTTGTTTGCTTTGTGAAACTGAAAAGGGATTTTCAAAGTAGGAGGAGATTTTGTGATTCAGATAAGAACACAAATTGTTTAACGGTCCACTGTCGCTTTATTTCCCAAATCCTCCAAACAGATTTATGCCAATCTGTGGCAATTCTCACTGTTGCTCAAGTCAAAATACATGAAGCAACCAGTGTACCCCACAGCTAACCAAACTGGTGCTCTGCTCATTGGTGACATGGTTTAAAACAGCAGAGGAATGATCAAGGTGAAGTTGAGTGGCTAAACTTCTCAGAAGGGGGAGAGCGCAAAGCCAAGAGGTGTGACAAAGCAAACGTGATACAGCCCACCACCCTCATTCTCTATAGCCTGTCCTGAAAAAAGGGGCATTTCCTGTTGAACTACAGCTGAGCAGGTAATAAACCAGTTTCGCTGCCAAATAGAGAGGATTTGGTGGGTCTGCCTGGGCACAGAGCCAATCCAGAAGCAGCAGCAGCACAGCATAATAGCGATACCGTCTAGTCCCCTGTACTACTTCCCTGATTCCTAAAGGCTTGACTCATGCTCAACTAGCCACATCCAAGGCTGTTTATTGTTAGAAAAAAAGTGCCAGAGGAAATGGTTCCTCTTCCTCCACTGTTGTGGGTTCAGTCCACAGACATAGATCTTTACATTTGCAACCAACTTTCACAAAACTTAGTGTCTCTCATGGCACAACTGATTCCATCCATAAATTTGACATCCATGACTGTAAAGTCATAAAAAGGGAAAAGCACATTTCTGGAACTTCCGAACGGCAGATGCAGCCAGGAGTCTTGTCTATGACAAAATGCCAGGATCAGAAGGAGGCAGTATCTTAAGCAAGGTCTCAGAAATCGAACTCTTTCGTCACTTACTGCTACCAATCAGGGGAGGTGGTTTCTGTTCCCAGTTCATGTTAGGGCAACAAGCTGCAAAGCAAAATCCTCACAACACTTGATTTCTCAATTGTTTATTTCTGAATTAAAACACAGACATTACAGAAATGCCAAACTTTCCAATCATATCAGAAATAGAAGACAATGCACCTGGATTGGTGGTGGGGGGGTTTTACGAGAGGACTGAGCACCTCCCAACCATGACACACTGAACTGCAGAACATTTTCTCCAGCTACAGTGCTCCACACCAGCTAAATTATTAATATTTTTGTTTATAACATTGCTACTTGACTTCCTTCTGTGTCTTACTCCAAATTAACTTTTTCTTCTGTTACTCAGCGGAACATTCCAAGAATGAAATAAATCTTTTAAAATTTCAATTTCTAAGCTATCTTGCATACCACAGGATCTACTATATATATGTTTTACATTTAAAATCTTAGTATCATACCTACATATTTATATTTATATAATATAGATATGTATATATAAATATAATATTCTAAATATAAATAAATGTTTAATATATATAAATCGGCTTTATTTATATTGCAATAAAATTGGATTCCAGACATGAAACTTCCTTAACTGAACTGATATCTAATATCTCTATAGTGGGCTCCCTCTTTCTTGCACAAATGTATTCCTTTGTCTAATAGAATGAAATTTCTTGGACAGTCCTGATTCCATTCTTAACTCTTCAGGGAAGAAATGTATGGTGGCTCCTTGTCAGAGGGAAATGTTGATTTCAAAGTTAAGATTCCTTTTCACTGAATGGCTCTTGGGAGGACATAGGGGAGAAGATATTCAGCTCTACAATAAACTGTTGGAGAAGACCAGCAACATGAAGGGAATCAGAGTCTGTGATAATGTCCTCAATCTTGGTTCTTCAGCTGGGGAGTGGTCTCTACCCATGGGAGCAGAATGCTTACTAGGGAGATCCAGATGTGTTGCTTTGCAACTGAAACACAAACAAAAAAATAGACAGGAGACAAAAAAAGGATTTCATTAAAGGGTCTTCAACTTATTAATAATGATTTTAGCACATTCAGAAAAGAAAATTATCACTTTTTAATACCTTAACCAGTGCCCTCTCTGAACCTCAGGATGGTATTGCCATTAAATATATAACATTTCTGGAAATATTCAAGCTAGAGAAAAAAATGGGATATAAACAACTAAACAGAATTTTGGGAACAGAAATTTTGGGGAAAATTAAAATACAGGCCATATCGATTTTCACAGCAGCCTTCCTTTAGCTCCTTAAGTTCACTTTGTTACTTTAAAAATACAACATGCATTTTGAATACCTAGGTTTATTCCTACAATCATCATGTTTGGCATATTTATTAAATGTAAAAATATAATTTAATCAGACATTACTAATTGAATTTACTTTAAAAGATTTTAAAATATTTTACAAATGGGTTTATAAATGGCAAAACTCTAAGAAAGCTAGGATTTTCAAATCAAAGAGCGCCACATTTTTAAGTGCTCATTATTTTAAAGGACATTTATTTATTTATTTACTCTTTCTAATTTTTTTTCCAATTTGGGAGAGGGAGAAAGGCTTGGAAAAAAGCAACCCAACTTTTTTCAGGCTTCCACGCAAATCTTAAAAAAAAAAGATGCTGCAACTTAAGAGTCATGTTCATTTTCACAGTGGATTCCTCTGATAATAAAATAATACAGAAACATTGATACAGCAGGAGTAAATCTTGCTCTCTATACTCTGCTGTCAGTGTAAGCCATCCATACTTCATCATGTTTAATGACTGTAAATGAGATAGACCTTGATCATATCTCAGCCACTTGATAGATCAACCTTCCACTTAAAATCTAAAATTTAACAAAAAACTTAATAATGTTTCATGCACATCGCACAATTTTCCATGCACAGATTTTTCAGCCCTAATCTGAAAGTATGCACATCAGTTGCACATCACAAAAAAAAACCAAAAAAACCCACAATCAATATATATTCACCAGGGGAGTGGATGCTTTTCTAGTACATTCTGCAGTAATGAAAAATGCATCATTTCGTTGAAAAGAAAGGACAACAGAGCAGGAAAGAAATTTAGGAAGCAGTGTATATTCCTACAAAAGAATCCCAGACAAATTAAAGTCAATACAACGAAATAAATGCGCACACACATTCTGATATCTACTAGGTTCATAAAGTATGGACACTAAAACAGTTATAAAATTGCAAGGGTAAATTATTTTTATGATGATCTTCCCAATTTGGTACCTTCTAAAAGTATTGGCCATTAGCTCTGGTGATTAGGGTGGGCCAGAAACAAGGTTAGCGGGGTTTGGCCAGTAACACTTGATGTGGTTGCTAAATTAATCCATGTCCTGGGTTTGCATAATAAATTTGGTCATAAACTAACCTCAAGAGGTTGGCTCTTACATGCTTTTAGTAATTTCCAGGGATAGCAATTGTGTCAGTTTCCCATCATATGGACACATACATAAGCCAGGGTTTCTCAAACTTTGCAGGATGGTGACCTCCTAATATTATAAATGAATTTATGCAAACCTCCCGTGTATGGAACTAACGTTTTTACAAGGGTTGGGGGCTGGTAGGAAATAAATCTACAGTACTTACTTTTAATCACTGCATTTTAATATTTATCCCAGAGTTTCTCAAACTTTGCAGTACTCCAACAAGCCAATGTGGGTTTGCAGAGCAATGTGAGGAGTAAAGCCCATAGTGAGCACAGATGGTGTTCCCTTTGCCTGTGCAGGCCTGATCTGATTTTTAAAATTTGTGATCCTATCCTCTGAGTAGCTAGCGACTCTGCACAGGGTCCCAAGCTGCAATCTAAGAACTCCTGACATAAGGAGTAAAATATAACAGTGATGATTTTACATAGTATGCCACCTTTCATATGGGAAGTCAAAATAGCATACCTCAAGTTTCCTCTTGTTTGATTTCCACAACTTTGTAAGGTAGATTGGGGTGAGACCTGGCTGGACTAAAATTACCCAGTTCACACTGCACCATAGTAGGCTTACTATTAAATCCAACCTTCCCCCAACCTTCCCCCTCCCATCCAAGGATAAACTTCTGGTCCTGCTCCCTTACATCTCACTTGTGCATCATTGCCCTTCTCACTACAGCCTTCTCTACCCCCTCCCCCACCAAATTCATACTGATTTTGGAATTGTACCTGAGCAAACAGGATGGAAATCATCTGCATGTACTTTGTAATAGTAGCTTGAGTTGCTGCTCCTCTGGTTCTGCTTCTCCCTGTTGCAACACCCTCTTTTATAACTCTGGCCCAGAAAAAAGAGAAGAGCAGGAATCCCCAGGCACCTCTACATCTGCAAGATTTCAATATATGTCAGCAATTAGTCATTGCTATGTGTCAGATTAGATGCATCTTATAAAAGCACCCTTTTTTCCTTTTTGCAAAAAAAATTTCTTCAACGCTTATTTTTAAATATATGACAAGCTTACATCCTAAAAAACCCCAAGATTTTTCTCGAACTATTCCATATAAGGAAATAGACACTTCCCATGTTCTGTGCTGGAATGACATTTGCTCTAGATGTGGTTACAGTGGCCAGCGGATGACACAGTTGGCAGGACGGGATTTACATACAAGCCACATTTTCTCTTCTTCATTTTAGGTTTCTGCAGAAGGCACCCTTATTCATGAGAGTACTGTGGGCTTTCCATGAGCACTGAGAACAATGGAATGGTGGTTCATCAAAGATTCTGCCTTGCTTCCAGCTGTGGATTCAGTTCTACAATACTGTAAAAAGTTACTTGCATCTCAGCCCTTACAGCAGTGCTTCAAATGTACTTAACAAAAGGTGTTTTGGAGCATTAACGTAACACCTGTCTGCCTTGCTTTAAAGCAGCTACATCTTTTCCTGGGAACAGCTATGGAATCCTAGGAAAAGACACAGCTGCTTTAAAAAGCTGCAGAATTGGAATAGGATCGGAAGCTCTGCACAGCCCTATTCTAGAGAACATCAGAGCTAGGATCATTTACAGGGTCTGGGAAGGAGACTGTCAAAAATATCAAGATGGCCATGACCTTGCAATCAAAGCCTGTGTGTAGAAGGGACAAGAGTTCCACCTCCTGCCTGCAGTCATCATCTTGACCATTTTTTGGCCTCCTCTGCAGACTCCCCTGAACATTTTTGTGTTCATATCAAGACACCAATTGGGACATTACATGGATACGTAGTTCTTCTACAGAACTTTCCCCTACCTGTGAAACAAACATGCCACAGAGACCTCTTTTTCCTGCCAGGTTCGCATTGCCTTTGGGTCATTCCCAGCCCATATTTCAGGCAGTTTAAAGCCATGCTTAGTTGTTCAGCTTCTGAAGTAGAGTTTTTCTTCTGATCCCAGTAGC